ACTGCCAAACATGCCATGTCCTTCCTTCTATTTGTCGATTGGTTGTTGGGTCATTTATTTGTTGACTGGTTGTAGGGTCATTTATAGACACTCTGTAGCTTGAAATGATATGGTCTTAATCAAAATTCGCTAAGGTGGTGTCCTTTGAAAACATGACATGATTTCTTTTTCTTTATCACTGCTGTAAATCCTAAGAACTAACCATTGGATATGATGTCGGCGAAAACGTGTATGCTGAACAAGACGTACTATTGCAATTTTTCAATTTATTCTGACCTATGCCACCAAACCTAGTTGTTGTATTATTATGCTTCTATAATAAATGTCTTGAAGCAGATTTAAATATAAGTTTAATTGCAATGCACCAACGGCTAAAGTGACTGTCACATATGCCATGTACTTCCCGTCCTCCCTCGTTATTGAATAATTTTACTGGTTACCTCTTACTTGATGCAACAATACACATTGGTAAATGTATGAATTAATTACATCTGTAATTGAGTGTTTTAAATTACTATGTAACTCGGTGTGACCGCCTGTTTTGTTGGTCTAAATAAAACAGCAAAATATTTATGTTTTAAACATTTGGAATTCGGCATTTTCCGTTAATCTCAAGTTCAATAATGTAATATATAATAAATAAACGAATGTCCACCTTATGCCACGGATTTCTTTCACTGTGTCCCGATCATTCTTGCAATCTCCACCCTTTATTGTGACGTCATGAAGTAAATGTCTCCCATCTGCAATGAACTGTCAAAGAATCTATTCGCATATGGTTACGATAATAACTGTTGATGGTGTTTTGACCGAGGGGGTGTTTGTTGTTGTACAAAAATAACAATCAAATCAAAACAACACCAGGGAATCTGTTTTGTGACAGAGTTTACTAACTTGCATACACCCCATCCCTTTCAAACAGGAGTGGTAAACATAAAGCAGAAAAATGTGTGCGACACTGATTCAATAATTTATCTGCATTCACATTAAAATAAAATATTGCATCGATATGATTTATGTTTATTTGATATGATATACCACCACACTAATACACCGCCCACATGCTTCGCCCACGCTTATACAAAGCCACTAAAATGGCGGAAGGCGTTGTTTATATGAGCCGAATGCAACGGAAACTGCCTTTACTGACCATTTTTGTCACTGCTATTTGTCTGTCAATGTGTTCTGTGTGTTTCAGAATGTATCTTCAAGGTGTTCAGCCGTTTACCAAGGTTTGTAAAGAACAGCTGCTATATCTGTGGTATATTACGGTTCCATTTACCATATAACCACACTTGAAAATTACTAGGTTTTATATGTGTGCACAATTCATTCTGCTTTTCTTTATGATGTTAGACAGTTAGAGTGTAATTGCCGAGACTATGAGTTCCCATATTATGGACTGTGTTAGGTTCGTAAATATGCCTGTAATTTATATCGGTACACAGTATGACTTTTGAATGCTGTATTCTATTTTCACTAAAATATATATATATATATATAGAATAGAGTACCTGGTCATGTTTATGCAGAATCGCCAATATATTGCCACTGGTGTTACACATTTAAATCTGGTTTGAATTGTCTGCATATCACATACATCAAAATTTAAGTCCCTTCAAATATTTTATGTCAGACAACTCTCTCAGCAGCGTCTGATAATTCGTCACCATTATCCCCAACGTACCTGCATGATAAAAATACGTGTCATATATTCTGATTGGCCATTTTAAATAACTCCCAATTGGTTAATCACAGATGGACGTTTTTCTAAAATGTAATACATTGATTGCAAGGTAAGAGTTTGGACAACATGCCGTGCCGTGTTAGCATGGCAGGGTGACATCAATGGTAATTACACTTTAATTATAATTCTTATGAGTGACATGTACAACTCTCGCCGCAATAGGAACAAAGACAGTTTAAACCAATAGTATTATGCCATAATATTTGTTGTATCATTCTGGCAAAGTCTGCTGGCAATTTAGCAGTGCCAATATGAAAGTTATTGTTCGTGTTGCTTTCTTAATCAAGTTTTCCAGATCGTTAGAAACATGCTCTTAATGTATCTATCCATAATTCCGAACGGATGATTTGCTATTCGGCATAATTTTTCTGGATGATTAGGCGATGCGTTGGTGGTTATGTATCCTATTGCATGTTTCACGAGTATTTAAATTATTAATTTAAATACTGACAATTATTTTGACATCATTCTGTTTCACTTTCAGGTGAAACACTCTCAGCATGAACTATCTACAACCATTTCTCAACATGACATAGTTGTCAATCACACTTCGTATTTCGATGT